CTAATCATCAGTGAAAAAAAAGTTAATACAATGCCTTTTAATTAAAAGAATTTAGCAAAAATAATAATCCTATAATAATCCTTGCATTTGATATAGCGCCTTATATAGTTGTCAAGACGTCTCAAAGTGCTTCGCAGAATATACTGTAAAGTATAGTGACTGTGTGTTTTGTGTGCGAAAGTGGTAGCCAATTGTGCACAGCAACGTCCAATAAACAGTCATAGTGGATTGAGTGATCACATTTTTTTTGAGGAATTATTACCCCGGAAAGCAATCCACCAATCGATCAAAAAGAGGATTCCTACCTACTGTCAGGTAAACATATGTGTGTGAGTGGCATAAGGAAACTTGCCTAAGGTTTTGCCCTGGATGGATATTGTGAAATTGTGAAAATAGAATCCCAAATAATAGGAAGGTTCCAACCTCCAATATACACTGGAGCCCATTATAATGCAATGTTTGGGGCTCATAAAATTGCTAACAATTGCCATATTGAGGCATAATAGCAGTTTTACTGTGCATGTTTTAACGAAAAAAGGGTTGACTTCCAGTTCATCGGCTCACTGCCAACACCACTGCTTGTTGTAGATGCACAAAACAGGATACAACATAAATTGTGACCTGAAGATATGGCAGTCAGGCTTTTCTTAGCTAAAATGGCTGACTTCAGAGCCATTAAGTTGCTGCTGGTGTGACTTTCTGGTTTGCAGCAAAGCAGGAAGTGACACCAACAGCAAGCTAATGACCCAGAAGTTGGTTGTTTTAGTGCGAATTGTGCTTTATTATTGAAAGCTTCATGATAAATGAAATGTTACCTCGGGTAAAGTTTTCTTTTTACCAAGTCATCTACTTGATTATCAAAAAGATCTAGATATTGAAGTTAAAATTGCTCTATTTTATATATCACCTTGATAAGCAGTGTGTGGGGATTCTTCCAAAATATTTTGAATCAGTAACTCCAAATCTTTTCAACTTTGCCTAAATTAGTGAGCTGGCATAATTCAAACAATTATTCTGCTGTTGTTACATTAATAGCTTTTTCCATTTGATGAGTTTTCCACATTGAACTAATTATGAAATGTTGAATTGTTGTAAAACTGGGGTTTAAGATATTTTTGGGATCAGCCAGGTATCAGATACATGTGGAAACCCCACGATACACTATTGTGATACCCCATAATAGAGTATCCAAACTACACTGATATTTCTACATTCATATGCCACCTGCTCATGGAAATTTCCCTGTAGCTAGAATGGGTTGCACACTCTCTTCTTGGAGGCATCCTGCTTAACTAATTTCAGCAAGTATTAGGTACTGGTTGGCAAGAGCTAAGCTTGGAGATCTCAAAGAGTGTGTTGGGATACTCCGAGAGTTCAAGCAACTAAAACTAAATAACAGAATCCTTGCCCCCAGTCACCAGTCTGCCCCTCCAGTTCCTGCTAATGAATCAGGCTACCAGCAGTACCTTGGAGCTCTGTAAACATATCTGGTTCAGGAACCAGACGATTGAAACTGCCACAGAAGATGTACTGAATTCCAACATTCTGTGGCCAAGCATGTCACCTTGGAGCCAACTCAGTTCCAGGGAGACCTTGCTTATGTCCCCCTCGAGGAGGATCATGCTTTCCTAATGAATGTTTCATGTATCCCTATGATTGGAAATCTGAAATGAAAGTTGATTCAAGGAAGGTTCTGAAAAATAAATGCTACATTAATGTCTTGGGTTATGATTCACAGAGATTGACACTCTGCGAATCTACTGTATTTTCAGTTTTAACCTGTCCTCTCAACAGTAACAGCAATTATAGAGTGCCCTTCTCACAGAATGGTACCTTGGAGCACTGCACAATGGTGGGGTTGGACGCCAAACAAAATAAAAGTGGGAGATGTGGTGGAAGAGACCTATCTTTTCGACAATAGGCGTGATAGAAGAGTGCGATTTAAAGATAGATCAGGGTGACACAGAGGGATCGAGGTAGGGAGTTCCAGAGGCTAGGGGTGTAGTGGCTGAAAGCACGGCCACCAATGGTAGCATGGAAGGGTTGAGGGACATGCAGCAGGCCTGTGTTAGCTTATTATTATTATTATTATCGTTGAGTCACTGAATCATTTGGAAATAGAAAAAGTGGTAATAAATAGATACGGTACAATTACATTACAAAAAGTAAGATAATTTGATAGATAGTGTTAAATGAATTTTGACACATCACTGTTTGCTAATGTTCTCAGATTCATTCTCTGATCTGTCAGATCTCCCAGCTCACTTCATCAGAACAGGTCAAATTCAGTTCTTGTGGTGTACAATGATATACACTTAGGGAGATAAGGGAGATTTGTGAAGTACTGCAAGACAAATTGAATGCATCAATCTGGGGAGGTTTCAACAGTCTGGAATCAAACAAATATGGTTGTCAGACACAATAACCTGAGCTCAACAATTGGAAAACTTGCACAGTAGAACCTGGTTCACTTATAGCATAATTCGGGTATGGACCCCAACATTTACTTACCCCAAATAATCCCTCCAAAAAACAAAACAATAGTAAATTGGTCATTTTAAATTCATGACTGTTTGTGGGACATTACTGTGCGCAATTGGCTGCAGCGTTCGCCCCCAAATATACAGTCAATTCACTTTACAGTATATGCTGTGAAGTGCTTTGGGACGTCTAGAAGACATGAAAAGCGCTATATCAAATGCAAGGATTATTATTATTATATTATTACCCCAAAAAATCCAAAATAATAATAATCCTTGCATTTGACATAGCATCTTATCACGTCTTTGAGATGTCTCAAAGGGTTTCACTGAATATACTGTTAAGTGAATTTACTGTATATTTTGTGGGCGAAATGTGGCAAACAAACAGTCGTGGATTGAGTGACCAATTTATTATTTTTTTGGAAAGAATTATTACTCCCAGAAAAGCGATCTGCCAGTCAACTAACAACCGTGTTCCTACTTTCTGCTAGGTAAACAGAGGCATGTGGAGTAAGAAAATTTGCCCAACATTTAACCCTGCTGGGAATTTAACGCAGGTCTCTCGCTTGTGAGGCGAGTGCTCTAACCACTACGCTTCAGGTCTCCATGTGTGCATGGTTCCATTGGTGTTTCAAAAGCATTCAGAAAGCCAAATTAGCTGACATAGGTGTCCTGAACTCATCAGTGACATAATTTCTAGCATGTCACAAGTGACATCAAGAACAACCTATTGCCCTGGATATTGGCTATATTTTAATGAAAGGAAGCTTATAATGCTGGAGCCATGTAGACAAATAACTCAAGTCTGGGTCATCTGCTTACTGCACACCTGCATCGTGCAGGAAGTGAAATTGGTGGTGATCTGATGATCCAGAAGATGATGATTTTATAGTGCGCAGGAAGCGGCCTGGCTCCCTCCACACATGTACAGTGACATTACTGGTCATAGCAGAGGTGACATCATGATGCAGAAGTACTGACGAGCACTCACATCCTGTAAGAAGGCTGGTTGGCATTTTATGGATGCCAACCATGCTGCATTATATCATAAAATCATAGAATTATACAGCACAGAAGGAGGCCTTTTTGCCCATTGTATCTGTGCTGGCTCTTTGAAAAGAGCTATCCAAATCAATCCCACTCCGCCGCTCTCTCCCCATAGCCCTGCATACATCATGATATCACCTATGTCATCATGATAGCCCAGTGCTGCATCTTGATGTCACCTATGCAGATATATGCTGGAGCCCTTAATATGGCATTAAATGAATGCAGATTTCAACATCTAAAGGTCAATGGAAATGAGTCTTGAGCTAGTGAATTTAGCATTGCTGCACTACTGGAACCGAGAGCCTCAATTTTCTCGTGATCAATTGACAGGATAAAGCTGGTACATGTAGCTCCCAAGTTTCTGATTTCTGCTGTTGTCATGTCAAGTAAGTATGGCATTATTGTGACATGATGGAGTGCAATGATTAAGTCATTTGATATTAAAAAAGATGTTTGGTATTATGCATTGAAATTGAAACGTTAAAATGCTGACCAACATCAGTGGCAGTTTTCGTTTAACTTAGATTTGTTTTAAATATTAGACGCAGAAGTGTACTCGAGCCTTTAATGTTTTTAAAGTTATTCCTCAATGTGTAAAAGATATACAGTTCACTTTTTTCACCTCCATTTAGCTTTATGTTCTTTTTATGTTGGACTATTAATTTGACGCGCTAAAAGTGGAGGATATGTACAGGGGGGCCATAGGGTGATGTGATCACATGGTGGGATGTTTTACTCTGACATATATCATCTTGACAGTAAGTAAAGTTGATATTCCCCAAACCCGAATATATATTGGAAACCCGTTGTGGTGTTGGGGAGGGTAGGTGTGGAGATGGAGGGTGGAGGAGCTGTGATAGTTATGACTGTTAGGAATTTTAGGACTCAAGTTGTGATAATCACTCAACGCATTTTGGAATTAAGTCAGCGTCGTCAGTTGCAGTATAAATCCAGGCTTACTGCAGCTGATTTCAACAAAATCCTGGACCTTAAAACAATTAATTCCCTTTGAAAGGTAATAAGCTACTGTTAGACCTTTGAATGTCACATAAGATCCAATTTAACTTCTGGCTTTTAAGACTGTTTACAGTATAACTGATGTTCAGGGCCGGAGGAAACATAGCTGAAGAGCTTGCATTGAGTAAGGAACAGTGCATCCAAAAATCTGATACAATCCTGTGTAACAAATAAAAAACGTAGGGTGAATGAATTGCTCTGTGCTCAAGGTAAGGGAAGCTCCTCTTCATTGAATTATTGCTAGGTGCTGCAACTTTGTTGAGTTGTCTAACAATCTCCCCTGTCCACTCCCTCCACTTTGCTAACTCTTGCCTGCTTCATGTCACCCAATTTCAAACAGGAAAAATAACTAATAATGGAGTTTGAAAATTTCCCATTGATTGAGAATTGCAGGCAAACAAAATGTGAAATTTTCTTCTGTTTTAACTCAGGCTTTTTTTCTTGGTGCAGACGCTTCAATGGAGATAGGCCACTGCGACGACAGACAATGCAGAAAGGAAGGAGGCAGGCATTCCGGGGGCCTGCTTACATGTTTACTGACAGATCGACTAGTCTAAGTGCCGATGAAGAACGATTTCTGGACGCAGCTGAATATGGCAACATTCCTGTGGTCAGAAAGATGCTCGAGGAGTTTGGATCACTCAACGTGAACTGCGTTGATTTTATGGGTCAGAATGCACTGCAGTTAGCTGTAGCAAATGAGCATCTGGAGGTCATAGAGCTTCTGCTGAAAAGGGATAACCTGTCACGTGTTGGGGATGCCCTATTGTTGTCCATCAGTAAGGGCTATGTGCGAATAGTGGAGGCCTTATTAAGCCACCATGCTTTTACTGCCGGATGTAGGCTAACTGTAAGTCCAAGCCAGCAGGAATTACAGCATGATGACTTTTATGCCTATGATGAGGATGGTACTAGGTTTTCCCATGATGTCACTCCAATAATCCTGGCAGCCCATTGCCAAGAGTATGAAATAGTTCACATTCTTTTGAGGAAAGGCACACGTATAGAGCGACCACACGACTACTTCTGCAAGTGTGGTGAGTGCACCGAGAAACAGCTGCACGACTCCTTCAGCCATTCTAGATCTAGGATAAATGCCTACAAGGGTTTGGCAAGTCCTGTTTACTTGTCACTGTCCAGTGAAGACCCAGTACTAACCGCTCTGGAACTCAGCAATGAGCTAGCTGTGCTGGCCAACATCGAGAAAGAATTTAAGGTGAGTTCAGTCTTAAAGAAGGTGAGGTGGGAGATGAAAGCTTTAATATTATTTAAAACATCACAAACATCACCCAATTATGTTTATAAAATTTACTGAAGATCAGGACAATATGTAGTACATTTTGGTATGAAGAATAGGGGAAGAAAATACACCTTAAATAGTAAGATTTGATATGAAGTGGAGGAGTAGAGTGACATTGATGTGCAAGTACATATATTAAAGTTACAACAACAACAACAAGATTCCATTTATTGAGCGCCTTTCACGTCGGGAGGACGTCCCAAGGTGCTGTACAGTTGGGTCAGGACCTGAACAAGGGGGAAATGGTCAGGGTGAGGGGAGGGAAGGGAGGGAGCGAGGAGGGGGTAGAGAGTGAGAGGGGAGCTGAAGGCACGGTCAAAGAGAAAGGTCTTGAGACCGGCCTTGAAGGAGGAAAGGGAGGAGGCGGTGAAGGCACTGGGGGATAGAGTTCCAGAGCCTAGGGGCTGAGAGGCTGAAGGCCCGGCCACCGATGGTAGGACGGTTGGGGCGGGGGATGTGGAGCAGACCGGAGCCAGAGGAACGGAGGGTACGGGCAGGTAGGTAGGGGGATAGTAGGTTGGAGAGGTAGGAGGGAGCAAGGCCGTGAATGGCCTTGTAGGTGAGGATGAGGATCTTGAAATCGATCCTCTGGGGGATGGGGAGCCAGTGGAGGCGAGCGAGGGTGGGAGTGATGTGGTCCGAAGCCTGGTGCGGGACAGTACACGAGCTGCAGAGTTCTGAATGACCTGCAGCTTGTGGAGGGAGGTGCCGGGAAGGCCGGCGAGGAGAGAGTTGCATAGTCCAGCCTTGAGGTGATAAAGGCGTGGACCAGAGTTTCAGCAGCGTGAGGGGTGAGGTAATGCCGTAGTCTGGCGACATTCCGGAGGTGATGGAAGGCGGTGCCAGTTGTGGCGCGGATATGAGGGAAAAAGGACAGCTCAGGGTCGAACAGAACCCCGAGGTTCCTGACTGGCTTTGAAAGGTGGAGAGTGCAGCCTTGGATGCTGATGCTGTCAGCGCCTGTTAGCAGCAAAGGTAGATGAAATCATTAAAAGGGCCATAAAAAGGCAAACTTTTTTCTTGATTTTATATATATATATAAAATACAAAAGTAAGTAAATAATTTGAACCCAGAAGGGAGTTCTACCAGTGTCATAGCCAACAACAACAAAATTACATTTATAGAGCGCCTTTAATAAATCGATCATTCACTGATCAATTTAATGGCTGCTTGGTATGTGTAAATTGGCTGTCAATTGGAAGAGAGATTATATGAAGTTGCCCTGTCTCAAGGACAGCATATGATTGTGATCATGTGTGGGGACTATGCTGGTCATCCTGCACGTTTTACATTCTTCCCATGTCTGTTTATTAACGTAAAGTGCAGCTGTTCTGCTTGAGTGTAACTCCATTAGGAAATATCAAATCAATGCTTGCAACATCTGGTAAGTCCTGAGATCCCTTTGACAATGTTTATCCCATGGTCAAGGCAAACACAAGGCAACTCATATGTTTATCTTTCTAATTGAAGAAGAACATTGGATTAAATAGCAAATCAATAGGGCATAACTTTGTTTTTCCTGGTGCTTCATTTGACTGTGGCTACAACAAATTGTTCCAGACTTCTGGATAATCCTAACATTTGGTATAGTGCCTTTCATGTCCGAAAGATGTCCTAAATCGCTTCACAGGACATACTGTAAGGCCTGGTGAATGTGTTTGTGGGTGAATGTGGTTGTTTCATATAAATAAAGGATATTTTGATTAATGTAACCAGAATGTACTGTAAATGGTCTATGCTTTTATTTATCTATTATAATGGGATTGCCTTGCCAATCATGCTCCTTACTCTAGACCAGGGGCTCTCAAACTTAGTCACATTGAGCCTCCCTAAGCCAAGAAAGAAAATAATTGTGTTTCCCACAGTTCACCAAGACAACACAAAGAACTGAAAATCCTATATCCACATCAAAGTACAAGGGCTCTGATCAGTAAGTTACAATAAGAATATGAACATCAAAAGCATCAATTCTACTTCACAAGCACTTTCATGCTTGCTTTGTCTTAAAAGAGCAGCCAAAACAAAACTGCACAAACACTCCAGGAAATCACAACATCTAACAACTGCAGAGCATGTCAGTGCAATATCTTCAGTGGGAGGAATGAACCGGTCTCCTCGCTGATTAGGTCAGGGATAGCTCAAACATAACCCCCCACCCCCAAAACAGGGTGAAGGAATTTATTCCTAGACCACTAATTATGCCACATTTGACCAGAGGCTAAGATTGTTACAAAAACATTCTGGGTTGTAGATGCAAGCAGTGGGCTGAACCAGTGCTTTGAGTTAATGACTTGTCAAATGCCTGGAGTGATCTCACCGATCAAATGCTAAGAAATCAGCTGAGGATCACTGAACAGCTACAGGTGTACTGGTCATTTTGCAATAAGCACTTTGATTCTCACATGCAAATTGTTCCTTTAGGCTGGTCTGTAAGTAAATATTAATCTTAAATTGTGATTAAGTAGTGTTGTGTGCATCCTAAATATTTAATCAATGAGGTAATTTTATTTCGAGAGAACAGAATTGTATTTATTTAGAATCATGGCTAAATAGTATTCTTCATGGCCTGGCAATTCTGGTACGCAAAAAGATTGAGTAAGCAGGTGAGCAGATAATAATCATTTATCTGTTTAATTTAGCATCTTTCCACCCACATCCATGGCCATCCCCTCGATCTGATGATTACCTGGGGCCTCACTGTTTCAGATATTGCCATCACTGTTAAAGCCATCTGAGACTTGTATTTCATCTCCTGTACCTCCTCCTTTCACCCTTCCTGTCGCTTAACCCTCTACAATCCTTTATTGCCCCTGGAAAAAAATATCCCTTCATGTTCAAATAGTCATTTGAACTCTTACCTCACTGGACTTCCTCCCATAATGACCTATCCTCCTCAATCACTGTCCTCCACAACTTCCTCTCTGTCATCCTTGACACCCTTGCCCCAGTCACCTCTCCTACTCTCGCAAGACTCCCTGTTATACCTCTGCTCCCTCAAGTCCCAGGTGCATTCTGTTGAAGGATTCTGCTGAATGCACCTGGCACAAATCCATATGGAGCTATGCAGGTCCTGTAGGATTATGTGGTCCATCACCAGATCTGGCTGGACTGCACTAAGACCTACTGCTCTGCCCTTGCCTCAGCTAAAGCAACCTTCAACTCCAAGATCATCCTAGCCAAGGGCAACCCCAGGCTCCTTATATCTACCACAACTCCTCTGTCCAAATTCCCATGCCTTATCCCTCTCCTCCAATTGCAAATGTGAGGAGATGATAGATTTCTTTGAGTCCAAAATCATTCATCTTATCCCATTCAGTTAGGTTCTCTTTCTGAACAACTTGCACTTACATAATGCATTTCATACAGGATGAATATCTGAAATTTTGAATTTGATTCATGTGGAGCTATGCAAGTGCTGTAAGATTATGTGGTTCCAAATTATCATGGGAAAAGATCCTTAATATGCATCTGATATTCCTCCACAAAATATCCTGACAGTTTTGGTTATTAAATATCCTGATTTGCTTGATATAAATGACTTGAACGAGAATGGAATTTATAGACTTTACTGTATTTACTAATTTACTTTCTAATGTAATAATGAGACAATATAAATGCTTCAATTACCTATGCATGCACTGGAATCTTTCACATTTGCTATAAATACACAGTCACTATACATTACAGTAAATCTTGTGAAACGTTTGAGATATGTAGACAGCATGACAAGGGACTGTGTCAAAATGCAAGGATTATCATTATTAATAAATTACTCTTACATATCTCAAATGAACAGATTGCCAATGTGCAGAGACTGAATTGGTTGTAATTAGCAGTAAACAACACAGTTTCCATTTGCAGAACACAAACTGCCTTTACTAAATGTGTGGACTGGGTGTCTGAGATTATTATGGCAGTGCTTTACAGATAAACCCTACAAAATACACAGTCAATCCACTTTACAATATATTCTATGAAATACATTGAGACACCTCAACAATGTTATAAGGCACTATATCAAATGCAAGGATTTTATTATTATTAAGATGTCAACTCAACCTTTGCTACAGCATGATTTATTCTTTACCTTAAAGTTTCTCTTTTCACTTTAAACCCATTTTATTTTTTGAAACAGGAGCACTATTAAACAGCCATGTTTTGTAGCACACTCATTTTACTTGTTTTGCAAAGACTGGAGGTATTAAAGTAATACGACTATATTCAGATTAAATGGCATGTTATAAACAAATTCATTACTTTTAATCTGAACCAGCTCTAAATGATAGAGGCACATTTTGTGTCCAAAAACTCATTACTTTATAACAGTAAATGTAGAATGAGACAAAGCTATTTGCCTTATTCGTGCTTGTAATGTACAATTTACATGTTCATGAATTCTAAACAATTAAAATTCCTGAATGATGAAAAAAGCCACAACTAAAGATTCCAAGAATATAATATAAATCTTGACGTAATTGCTTTTGACTTTGCAATCCACACTATTTAATCCACAGAAATTACTTTTTTTCAGATGATAGCACCATTAACCATTGACTCAGCAGCATAGTATATAGTGTGTTGCATCAACATTGTCTATATTCATTCCTCTGACCTTCAATGCTGTCATTTTTTTCTTACTTCCTGAAATCACAAATTCATCTAGGCATAATCTTAATGGTGCCTCTGGTATTTTGCCCAAGTGCCAATTCTTCACCGAGCTCAGACAGTGAGGATCAGCAGGATATGTGACAATAGGAAGTTTCCCAGATGATCTTATTGTAGATGATTGATGAGCACTGTGGGACATTGCTGTGCAAAGATTGGTTGTTGCATTTGCAAAACAAACAGTCCCTCCACTTTGTAGTTTTGTCTATAAGAGCTTGAGCTGTGACCTCGAGCATGAAAGGTTCTACACCAAATGTAAAGATTGTTATTACTGAATTTTCCAGCAGTGGTCACTTAATAGCAATGGCAACCTTACTGATTTTTCCTGTTCACTTTTAAAGCAACAACAACAACAACAATTTGCATTTATACCTTCATGCCGGATAGTGTTTTGGAGTGTTGACAGCTCCAAGACACTACCCAAGACACAATGCAGTCAGTGGGTCGATTGAGACAACAACTTTCACTTATATAGAGCCCTCAACGCAGGGCAGCATCTCAAAGCTTGTCTGAGACTGTCTTCACTGTATGTCTGAATTCCATTGCACTAAGTGACTGAATAATCCAAGTAGATTTCCAGTCCTGATGTTAATGATATATTCAGAACACAAAGGAAGGCTAACTCACAATATTTCTTGACACCATTCCTTAATAAGGAATCCAAGTCGCACAGATAGGGACTTGTTCTGGTAACCGTAAGTACATCATGCTTACATGTAAGAACTCTGTAGATCTGCAGGAGATTCTAGTGGAATTCTTTGTAAAGGAATACTGTTAAGATACAATGCAAATTGCTCAATTAATCAAAATAACTCAAAACTTCTTTGACGTGTTTTCAGTCAGCTTTCCCCTCCTATCCACCATGGTTCCATTCCCTGCCTGCGTGGCCAGCCAGCATTGTCAAGCATTGTTGAGCACTTTGAGTCATCCTCCTGATGTGAAAGGAGCCACATAAATGTAAACTGTATTTTGAATCAGATCTCTTAAAGGAGGTCTTGAATGTATAAAACAAGTCTGTATAACATTTTACTTGGAGTTCTATTTTCTGATTTCATCTGAATAATAAGCCCCTATTTCAAAGTAACACTGTAGTGATGTTATAAAACTAACACTATTAAGTATAACACTAACACAGTATCAGTGGAAGAGGGAATATGTTAAAATCACAGATCACAACATACTAATCATTTCAATTTTATTTTTCTCCAGAATGATTATAAAAAGTTATCCATGCAATGCAAAGACTTTGTTGTTGGACTTCTAGACTTATGTCGGAATACTGAAGAAGTAGAAGCCATTCTGAATGGAAATGTGGAGACCGTTCACGATAGTAACCCTTATCTTCGACCAAGTCTTAGTAGGCTAAAACTGGCCATTAAATATGAGGTCAAAAAGGTAGGGAAGGCACTGTGAAAATATTTCATTTATTCAATGTGTTGTAAGCTACATTTTTCCCCTGTTAAAATTGCTAATATTGTAACCGTATTCTTGATTTGTTTTTTCTTGCAAGCAGAATGATAAGATTTTGGAAAAAAATGGTTCTAATGAACTCAAGCTTAAAGTTGCAAATATGATTGATCTGAAATGTTAAGAGGCTAACTGGCTGCTTGCTTTTGGAATATATCATGGCTTTATCAATTGATACTAAAATTCAATTGCAGTGCATAAGGACATACTCATCACTACATTAAGATTACTGGCATTATTATTATATTGACTCAATGACTTGTGATAATAATAATGCCAGTAATCTTAATGTAGTGATGAGTATGTCCTTATGCCACTGCAATTGAATTTTAGTATCAATTGATAAAGCCATGATATATTCCAAAAGCAAGCAGCCAGTTAGCCTCTTAACATTTCAGATCAATCATATTTGCAACTTTAAGCTTGAGTTCATTAGAACCATTTTTTTCCAAAATCTTATCATTCTGCTTGCAAGAAAAAACAAATCAAGAATACGGTTACAATATTAGCAATTTTAACAGGGGAAAAATGTAGCTTACAACACATTGAATAAATGAAATATTTTCACAGTGCCTTCCCTACCTTTTTGACCTCATATTTAATGGCCAGTTTTAGCCTACTAAGACTTGGTCGAAGATAAGGGTTACTATCGTGAACGGTCTCCACATTTCCATTCAGAATGGCTTCTACTTCTTCAGTATTCCGACATAAGTCTAGAAGTCCAACAACAAAGTCTTTGCATTGCATGGATAACTTTTTATAATCATTCTGGAGAAAAATAAAATTGAAATGATTAGTATGTTGTGATCTGTGATTTTAACATATTCCCTCTTCCACTGATACTGTGTTAGTGTTATACTTAATAGTGTTAGTTTTATAACATCACTACAGTGTTACTTTGAAATAGGGGCTTATTATTCAGATGAAATCAGAAAATAGAACTCCAAGTAAAATGTTATACAGACTTGTTTTATACATTCAAGACCTCCTTTAAGAGATCTGATTCAAAATACAGTTTACATTTATGTGGCTCCTTTCACATCAGGAGGATGACTCAAAGTGCTCAACAATGCTTGACAATGCTGGCTGGCCACGCAGGCAGGGATGGGAACCATGGTGGATAGGAGGGGAAAGCTGACTGAAAACACGTCAAAGAAGTTTTGAGTTATTTTGATTAATTGAGCAATTTGCATTGTATCTTAACAGTATTCCTTTACAAAGAATTCCACTAGAATCTCCTGCAGGATCTACAGAGTTCTTACATGTAAGCATGATGTACTTACGGTTACCAGAACAAGTCCCTATCTGTGCGACTTGGATTCCTTATTAAGGAATGGTGTCAAGAAATATTGTGAGTTAGCCTTCCTTTGTGTTCTGAATATATCATTAACATCAGGACTGGAAATCTACTTGGATTATTCAGTCACTTAGTGCAATGGAATTCAGACATACAGTGAAGACAGTCTCAGACAAGCTTTGAGATGCTGCCCTGCGTTGAGGGCTCTATATAAGTGAAAGTTGTTGTCTCAATCGACCCACTGACTGCATTGTGTCTTGGGTAGTGTCTTGGAGCTGTCAACACTCCAAAACACTATCCGGCATGAAGGTATAAATGCAAATTGTTGTTGTTGTTGTTGCTTTAAAAGTGAACAGGAAAAATCAGTAAGGTTGCCATTGCTATTAAGTGACCACTGCTGGAAAATTCAGGTAATAACAATCTTTACATTTGGTGTAGAACCTTTCATGCTCGAGGTCACAGCTCAAGCTCTTTATAGACAAAACTACAAAGTGGAGGGACTGTTTGTTTTGCAAATGCAACAACCAATCTTTGCACAGCAATGTCCCACAGTGCTCATCAATCATCTACAATAAGATCATCTGGGAAACTTCCTATTGTCACATATCCTGCTGATCCTCACTGTCTGAGCTCGCGTGAAGAATTGGCACTTGGGCAAAATACCAGAGGGCACCATTAAGATTATGCCTAGATGAATTTGTGATTTCAGGAAGTAAGAAAAAAATGACAGCATTGAAGGTCAGAGGAATGAATATAGACAATGTTGATGCAACACACTATATACTATGCTGCTGAGTCAATGGTTAATGGTGCTATCATCTGAAAAAAAGTAATTTCTGTGGATTAAATAGTGTGGATTGCAAAGTCAAAAGCAATTACGTCAAGATTTATATTATATTCTTGGAATCTTTAGTTGTGGCTTTTTCATCATTCAGGAATTTTAATTGTTTAGAATTCATGAACATGTAAATTGTACATTACAAGCACGAATAAGGCAAATAGCTTTGTCTCATTCTACATTTACTGTTATAAAGTAATGAGTTTTTGGACACAAAATGTGCCTCTATCATTTAGAGCTGGTTCAGATTAAAAGTAATGAATTTGTTTATAACATGCCATTTAATCTGAATATAGTCGTATTACTTTAATACCTCCCAGTCTTTGCAAAACAAGTAAAATGAGTGTGCTACAAAACATGGCTGTTTAATAGTGCTCCTGTTTCAAAAAATAAAATGGGTTTAAAGTGAGAAAGAGAAACTTTAAGGTAAAGAATAAATCATGCTGTAGCAAAGGTTGAGTTGACATCTTAATAATAATAAAAATCCTTGCATTTGATATAGTGCCTTATAACATTGTTGAGGTGTCTCAATGTATTTCATAGAATATATTGTAAAGTGGATTGACTGTGTATTTTGTAGGGTTTATCTGTAAAGCACTGCCATAATAATCTCAGACACCCAGTCCACACATTTAGTAAAGGCAGTTTGTGTTCTGCAAATGGAAACTGTGTTGTTTACTGCTAATTACAACCAATTCAGTCTCTGCACATTGGCAATCTGTTCATTTGAGATATGTAAGAGTAATTTATTAATAATGATAATCCTTGCATTTTGACACAGTCCCTTGTCATGCTGTCTACATATCTCAAACGTTTCACAAGATTTACTGTAATGTATAGTGACTGTGTATTTATAGCAAATGTGAAAGATTCCAGTGCATGCATAGGTAATTGAAGCATTTATATTGTCTCATTATTACATTAGAAAGTAAATTAGTAAATACAGTAAAGTCTATAAATTCCATTCTCGTTCAAGTCATTTATATCAAGCAAATCAGGATATTTAATAACCAAAACTGTCAGGATATTTTGTGGAGGAATATCAGATGCATATTAAGGATCTTTTCCCATGATAATTTGGAACCACATAATCTTACAGCACTTGCATAGCTCCACATGAATCAAATTCAAAATTTCAGATATTCATCCTGTATGAAATGCATTATGTAAGTGCAAGTTGTTCAGAAAGAGAACCTAACTGAATGGGATAAGATGAATGATTTTGGACTCAAAGAAATCTATCATCTCCTCACATTTGCAATTGGAGGAGAGGGATAAGGCATGGGAATTTGGACAGAGGAGTTGTGGTAGATATAAGGAGCCTGGGGTTGCCCTTGGCTAGGATGATCTTGGAGTTGAAGGTTGCTTTAGCTGAGGCAAGGGCAGAGCAGTAGGTCTTAGTGCAGTCCAGCCAGATCTGGTGATGGACCACATAATCCTACAGGACCTGCATAGCTCCATATGGATTTGTGCCAGGTGCATTCAGCAGAATCCTTCAACAGAATGCACCTGGGACTTGAGGGAGCAGAGGTATAACAGGGAGTCTTGCGAGAGTAGGAGAGGTGACTGGGGCAAGGGTGTCAAGGATGACAGAGAGGAAGTTGTGGAGGACAGTGATTGAGGAGGATAGGTCATTATGGGAGGAAGTCCAGTGAGGTAAGAGTTCAAATGACTATTTAAACATGAAGGGATATTTTTTTCCAGGGGCAATAAAGGATTGTAGAGGGTTAAGCGACAGGAAGGGTGAAAGGAGGAGGTACAGGAGATGAAATACAAGTCTCAGATGGCTTTAACAGTGATGGCAATATCTGAAACAGTGAGGCCCCAGGTAATCATCAGATCGAGGGGATGGCCATGGATGTGGGTGGAAAGATGCTAAATTAAACAGATAAATGATTATTATCTGCTCACCTGCTTACTCAATCTTTTTGCGTACCAGAATTGCCAGGCCATGAAGAATACTATTTAGCCATGATTCTAAATAAATACAATTCTGTTCTCTCGAAATAAAATTACCTCATTGATTAAATATTTAGGATGCACACAACACTACTTAATCACAATTTAAGATTAATATTTACTTACAGACCAGCCTAAAGGAACAATTTGCATGTGAGAATCAAAGTGCTTATTGCAAAATGACCAGTACACCTGTAGCTGTTCAGTGATCCTCAGCTGATTTCTTAGCATTTGATCGGTGAGATCACTCCAGGCATTTGACAAGTCATTAACTCAAAGCACTGGTTCAGCCCCACTGCTTGCATCTACAACCCAGAATGTTTTTGTAACAATCTTAGCCTCTGGTCAAATGTGGCATAATTAGTGGTCTAGGAATAAATTCCTTCACCCTGTTTTGGGGGTGGGGGGGGTTATGTTTGAGCTATCCCTGACCTAATCAGCGAGGAGACCGGTTCATTCCTCCCACTGAAGATATTGCACTGACATGCTCTGCAGTTGTTAGATGTTGTGATTTCCTGGAGTGTTTGTGCAGTTTTGTTTTGGCTGCTCTTTTAAGACAAAGCAAGCATGAAAGTGCTTGGTGAAGTAGAATTGATGCTTTTGATGTTCATATTCTTATTGTAACTTACTGATCAGAGCCCTTGTACTTTGATGTGGATATAGGATTTTCAGTTCTTTGTGTTGTCTTGGTGAACTGTGGGAAACACAATTATTTTCTTTCTTGGCTTAGGGAGGCTCAATGTGACTAAGTTTGAGAGCCCCTGGTCTAGAGTAAGGAGCATGATTGGCAAGGCAATCCCATTATAATAGATAAATAAAAGCATAGACCATTTACAGTACATTCTGGTTACATTAATCAAAATATCCTTTATTTATATGAAACAACCACATTCACCCACAAACACATTCACCAGGCCTTACAGTATGTCCTGTTGAAGCGATTTAGGACATCTTTCGGACATGAAAGGCACTATACCAAATGTTAGGATTATCCAGAAGTCTGGAACAATTTGTTGTAGCCACAGTCAAA